ATTATATTCAGGGGTTTCTCCTACTTTTCATAGTGATATATAGCCTAGTGCCAGTTCTACCAGGAAGTGACGATTTTGTTCTCTTTGATTCATTGGATGGAAACGGTGCTTATTCGCAAATGTTTTAATGCGATATTTCAATTTTGCGCATAAGTTAAATTCGCAACTTTGGATGGAAACCCGGCTACAGATGCCTTTAACAACAACCATGCTGTAGTCATCATCACCATGAAGCACACAGAGATCTAAACTTTCTGAACATTTTTAAGAAAAATCAGGATAGCTACTTTTAGAAGTTTAAGTTTTACCAAACTTTTAATGGATAGTTCACCCAAAAATGTAATTTGAGGGTGTCATGTTGTTCCAAATCCATGTGATTGGGGTCAAACACAAAAGGAGATGTTTTATAATTCATTTTAATGATATTTTATCTGACTGTAAAAACTATCCATTAATTTTTCATTGTTTTTCTCAATTGTACATGATCTTTCTTTAGAAAAACCCCTAATTATTTAGACCATATGAAGATTATTATTTTTTTTTTTACATAATTCATTTTTAATTTTACATAATTGAACTGAATTAGTATGTTAAATTGTAAATTAATAAAAAAAAATTAAACCAAAATAATTCCAACTTTAAATCATGACAGGAATAGAGCCAACAGTTAAATTGACATTAAATTAATAAAATTACAGAAGACTGTAAAACTGATCACGATTATATTTAAAAATAATTTTTTTAGTTTGCATATTAAAAGCTTTGTACGAACAAATGTAAGATTTCTTCTTATTAGCTACATATGAATATTAAGTTATGCAGGCTTTGAAAAACCATATTTCTCTTATCCAGGATGCTGGGATGTGGACTGATGCAATACGGATCTGTAAAGACTATTTGCCCAGCAAGCTGAGTGTCCTTCAAAAGGAATATGAAAGCGAGGGCAACTGGTAAAAGAACTCCTTTACTATCTGTTTCTTTTTTTCTCGTCTTACTTTCATATGTGTCTCATTTGCTGTGTCAGAAAATCTTCCCATGTTTATTGTTCTTCAGAAACTAGGGCTCTGCAGTTGTGCAGAAAAACTAGAAGCTCTGAACTACATTCGGATTGGCTTCCCTCCTTTATTAGAACATGGCAGCTTTTTATCCTAAATTAAATCCATAATGAGCAGCTCATTAACACGCAGACACGCAGTAAATCTGTCTCCACTGATAATTTTCCTATTTTTAATGACTTGTGGGAAAACATCAAAGGCTTCTTTGCTGTCTTCCCTGGGAAGAAAAGGAGAAACATTTTGCATAGTCAGTTCAAGGCCCACTCAGCAGTAATATAGGCTTCTTGTATCATTAACCTATTTTCAATCAAGAGTTTGAACTTTCTTTCCATGTTGTGTTTATAATTGACTCTTCTGGTCACTTTATGATCCCAAAGAGGTATAGGATGTGTGTACCTTCCCTGTTGAACAAAACAGCATATGCTGGATAGGTATGTTTTGAAGCATGGCAGCTGGTTTAAGCTGGTCTTTAATTGGTCATGAGCTGGTTTAAGCTGATCATGTGCTGGTCCTAAGCAACTACCTCCTGCTCAGGACCAGCTTAAACCAGCTCGTGACCAACTAAGGACCAGCTCAAACCAGCTGCCATGCTTCAAAACATACCTAACCAGCCTATGCTGATTTTTTCAACAGGGTTCAGCCATGTGGCTTTGTTTTGCCTGTCCGTTGCGCTGAACCTTACTTAAAGTTGTATAAAGCAGAAAGTGGTTGAGTGCTTGCCTTCACAGCTGTGAAATTCAATTCACTTTCTGCAGTTTTAAAGCCATCATTGCTAAACATTAAAGCACACAAAACATGGTACTAGATTTTTTCAAGCTGAAAGGTTTTCATGTAGCTTTCACGGTTATTAACCACCAGGTCATCTCAAGACCTTTAATAAATAGGGGTTTCAAGCCTTCAAAACTCTCACAGTAAAATGAACTGCAAACTATCTAGCCGGCACTAATAAAACGGTAGTATTTTCTGTCGTTTTTCTTCCCATAGAGTACTATGACGTCAATAGTGACGGAAGGAAAGCAGGAGATGGTAAACATGTCTTACAAGTCCATGAGAAATAAATGTATATGTGTGTGTTTACAGGGGTGTGGAAGGCATGGTTGAGCAGGCTCAGGAGTGGGAACAGACAGGTGAATATGCCAGAGCCGTCGACTGCTATCTGAAAGTGAAGGACTCATCTAACATGGACTTGCTGATGAAGTGTTGGATGAAGGTAAAGTTCAGACTCGGAGACACCTGGCTGCAGTCACCATGTTCTCTAACATAAAGAACACTGTTGTCCAGAAAATTATTTTTATTAAATTTTCAATCTGTTTCAATCCGTTATTATTTTAGGAAATTTTCAGTGAATTTTCACATGCGAAATCCAGTCAATTTCAGTAGAAATCCACCGGGAATTTTGCACAAGGGTGAAAGAGTTTGCATCGGGTTCAGATGGTCTTGCAAATTCACCACTTGATCAATAGAAAGCTACTTGGTTTGAAAGTGACTTTTGTGTGAGCTGTGTTTCATATGTCGCCACACTATTGACAGTAGACAATTGATCTTTTTTTGCTAATGTGACTGCACCTTAAGACATTAGTTTATTATTTTTTTTAAGAAAAATGTATTTATTTATTTATTTATTTTAGAACCAAAAAACTTGACTGGAGCCAACAACAATAAATGAAACTAGACAAAACTAGTCAAAAAGTTATCACAATTATGTTTTAAATTATATGTTGTTATATTTATTTGCTTATTATTAAAATTTTGGTTATTTAAAGTCCCCATTAAATCAAAATTAAAGTTTTTTGGGTGTTCGCACCGCGCACACACTCTGCTCCGGTCCAGAGACACGATAGAACGGAGCGGATCACATGCGCGAGTCGGCGCAGACCACAAAATGTATCGGAGCTATTTGAATTCTACACAGAATGCTATATTTTATAGCAATGTGGATGAGATTGTGGCTGGCATACCCTGTCAAATGTGGCTTTACGGAGCTCAACGGCTCTGAACGGCTCTAGCCCAAGCTGTGATGTAAACAAACGCTATTGGCTATTTAAAAAGGGGGCGGGGCTGCTTGATATGTCCCGCCCTGTCTTCCTGTTTCAGTTAAAATGACGTCAACACATAGAGTAACGCGGCATGTTTCTAAGCATTTCAGGGGACCTTTAACAAAGATGCCTCGTTTACATTAAAGTGAATTTAAGACGTATTTTCATCTGCATCCCTTATAAAGTTTTACTGATTGATCTTTTCTTTTTTTCCATTTTAGTCAGAGTGTGTTGAATGTTTAAGTTTATTATTGCTTGAAGGTCTTGCAAAAATCAGACGGAATACTGTTAGCATTATATTAGACTAAAGAATTGTTTAAATAAAAATAATAAATAAACTGTGAAAAAGAAGACAGTGATCTTTTAACCTAGATTAACTACAATTAGAGAGCTACTCTGTTGACATGAAATATCTGAACATGAAAAATGTTTTTATGCTCATAAAGCACTTAATTTTTTATTGCATTTACAGTTTTTACAAAGGTTTTCTCATCTTTTCATGTCCTCCAGGCAGCAGAATTGGCCATTAAATTTTTATCTCATGACAAGGCTGTGGACATCAGTCAGGTCGTCGGGCCACACCTGATTCAGCTCAGAAAGTACAACGAGGTATGTTTCTTTTATTTTGTTTTTCAGGTATAGAATCACATTAAGTATATAAAACTCTCTATTTGACATTGACATTTGACAGATGCAATTTTGAGCAGAAATACTGAAAAATCCCTCCAAAATACTAGGCCTAGCTTTTTATTCTTTCTAAGTATTGTGTTTTGAGAGCGGCACACCAAGAGGAAATGGTGCTTTCAGTGCGCTTGTTTGCCCATGTGTGCGAGTGTATATTTAGTGTATGACACAAAAGCAATGTGACCGCACAAAAACCTCACAGACTTCATCTATTCTTTGGCGTCCTCGAGCCATGGACCTGTTGAGATACAAATGTTTTTTTTTTCTTTCTTTCAGGCTGCTGAGCTCTACCTCAACCTGGACCTTATTAAGAACGCCATAGACGCATTCATTGAGGGAGAAGAATGGAACAAAGCTAAAAGAGTGGCCAAGGAGCTCGATCCAAGGTGAGCCCTTAGCAGACTGGTCGCCCCTAACAACGCTACAGCCAACAATGTGAGAGGGAGGCAGTGAAATCACTCTCTCGCTGTCAGAAAAATCACTCAGTGCAACAAATGAAGTGAACGACAGCATAAGGCCAAAGAGGTGCAGACGGCCTTCGCAGTTTATCTCTGACTTTTATTTACGGCTGGAAAAATAGGTTTAGGAATCAAGTCTAAATGCTTTCCCGTTCTGCATGAGGTGTATTCTTAAGTAGAATATATATTTATGTCTTATTGAAAATACTGTGACGTCACTCTCTATAAGAGTTTGCCATTATTGAGGTTTTGTGATATTTCCTCTCTTCACAGGCTAGAGGAATATGTGGACAAACGCTACAAAGAGCACCTGAAAAATCAAGGCAAAGTTGACTCCGTAAGTTCACCTTATCAAATTAATTTGTCTATTTTCTGCTTTTATTATTAGAGATCGTACAGAGAGGACTTCAAATGATGGGTCAAGGTTTGGCTGCTTAGCCTTGGCCAGTTACCCTAGTGGTAGATGCTGGAACTACATCAAAATGGAAAAGCTTATCATCAAATGTAGATATAAAATAAAAAATGATTACAACATTGCTACACTATTGATAATAGACAACTGAACTTTTTAATTTTTATTTATTTATTTAAATTTATTTTGAATTAAACCAAAAAACATATTATTTTTTAATTAAACCAAAAATTAATGACTGAAATATAGCCACAATTTTATGAATCACAATTTATTTTATTGTAATAACTTACATTTATTAGCATATTGCAAGCGGCATATAAATCTAAATATATCATTATAATGTAGTAATGTTTGTACGTTAAAGCAATAGGCCATGAGAAGCTACTAATATACTAATAAAAATATCAGCCATTGTTATGATTAATGTAATTATTTATTATTATTAATATTTGTAATGTTTATTAGTAAATTATTCAATTTAATTATTAGTGGTTTTAATTATTTTAAATCCTAATTTGTCCTAATAGTTTTCATTTTATTTTTCCATTTTTCAGTATTCATTATTATTATTATTAATGGTCATGGATATTTATAAATATAATTAACATGGTTTATTTTGATATTATTAATATATTATTATTATTATTTTATTATTAAACAAAAAATTAATGACTGAAATAGAGCCACAATTTTATGAATCACAATTTTATTTTAATAACTTACATTTATTAGTGTATTGCAAGCAGCATATAAATCTAAATATGTCATTATATTGTAGTAATGTTTGGCCAATAGCTGATTTTATTTTGGAGGACTCTTAAAAGCATGAAATTTACTTATTTTTCCCCGCCTGCTGCTTCTGACATCACATAGTTGCCATTGAGATAAATGAGAATACTAGCAGATAGTTTTCTATCTTATTATTGTAGTATTATAGACCACCTTGGGAGACCGAAAGGGAACAGGATTGTTAATCAAACTCTTGTCGCCCACATGAGCAGCATCATAGCTCAAAATGTCAGGGAACTGCTAGCTGTCAGAATCCTGTTTAAGTTCAAACAAATAAAATCTATTTCCTAGCAGTGGAAGTTGAGGTTAAATGAGCATAACATAATACCGCAGACTGCAGCTCCTCCGCTCTGGTACTTCATTGTTTTCAGTTATTGTTGAGAGGAGAGAAAAATAGAGACGATTGGCTTGATTCAATTTAGAATAATAAATATGAGTCACCAAATTGATGTGAGTGCTTGCCTCTCATTGCAATGCTTCACTGGCAGTTTGGTTACAATCACGGAATGATGCAGGTCAGGGCTTTTTATTGAAAAGAAAGACAGAATGTTAACGAGGAAACTAGTTTAATGTACACTTACATAATAAAATGTAGGCAGTCAAGAATGTGCTATATCATATATTATGTTGTGTGTGAATGAGAAGAAATGTCTTTTTTCTCACCTTTTTGACTGTACGTTAAAGCAATAGGCAATGAGAAGCAGCTTTAAAGGCTTATTGTTAATAATAATAATGATAATACTAATAATTACAGTCATTGTTATGATTTACGTAATTATTTATTACTATTCTTATTTTTAATGTTTATTAGTAAATTATTCATACATTTTAATAAATGTTTATTTCATTTGAATCAATTTAGTTATTAGTAGTTTTGATTATTTTAAATCCTAATTTGTCCTAATAGTTTTCCTTTTATTTTTTTTTATTTTTCAGTATTCAATCATTCTTCTTCTTTTTATTAATAATTAATATTATTATTATTATTAATGGTCATGGTTATTTATTATATTTATAAATATAATTAATGTATGTTTTATTTTGATAATATTAATGTATTTTATATTTTTAATTATAATTGTATAATAATAATTTATAATAATTTTAGTATTTTTAGGAATAGTTTGAATTATTTTAAATCCTAATTTGTCAGTATTAGTTTTCCTTTATTTTTCAGTCAGTATTCAATTATTATAAAATATATTAATAATAATATAAAATATCAAGTTAATTATTATAAAAGTATAAAATGTATTATTAAGGATCATATAAAATGAACAATTGTTAATAATAATATTTGCATAGCTGTTTGTTTTCATATTTGTAATAATAAAATTATTAATATTTGTAATGTTATTAATATTACAATATTATTAATATTTGTAATGTTATTAGTAATTGTATAATTAGTTTTAAATTTAAATTTGTCCTAATAGTTTTCCTATATTTTCAATCAGTTGGTTGGAGTAGATGTGGTGGCTGCCCTTGACATGTACGCTGAGAGAGGACAGTGGGAGAAATGCATCGACACAGCCTCGAAACAGGTGCCAATTCATCTGCTCTTCCCCCCAGACATGTCAGTGTGGAAACATGGCAACATTTTCACAGAGTATCTGCCTTTCCCTTCTCCAACAGAATTTCAAGGTCCTGCACAAGTACATCGCTCTGTACGCCACTCACCTGATCAAAGAGGGTGAGGCAGAGAAAGTACTCAACCTTTACACCCAGCATGGCGTTCCCGCTTATTCACAGGTACATCCAGTCATGTCTACATTATGAATCAAACTCTTTTATTTTACAAAAGAAAGCAAAATGATGCATGATGCATCTCCTTCAAGCATAAGGACTTCTGGATTTCATCAGAAACATCTTCCCTTCCTTCTTGCAGAACTTCAACATTTACAAGCGGATGTTCCTGGAGTTTGTGAGCTTAAGGGACTGGGATTGTGCGGAAGCTTATCGGATGTGGGCCGATCTAAGGGACGTCCTTCTGCTGCTGGTGAGCTCTGGGTTGGGAAATTATTTAGCCAGTATTGATTCTATATTCAAGTGGGAAATAGTGAATCTTACAGTATCTCTGTGCTGTGCAGTGTGAAAACCTGAGCAAGTCTTCAGAAGCTAATTCTCCAGCCCATGAGGAGTTTGAGCAGATGCTGCTGGTTGCTCACTATTACGCCACCTGCTCTGCAGCCAAAGGCATTGACCAGCTGGTGTGTATATACTTCACAGCAGATCTTTGTTATGTGTTTTACATATGCATGTTGATATCATGTTATAGAGTGACATTTATAATGTTATGAAATATTTCTCTTTCAAATAAAACTATTAAGCAGCACTACATTTTTTTGAGCACCAAATCAGCATGGATCATGTGACACTGAAGACTGGAATTGCTGCTGATAATTCAGCTTTTCCATCACAGGAAAAAAATGACACTTTAAAATATATTAAAATAGAAAACTCTTCACTTTAAATTGTAATATTATTTCACAATATTACTATTTTTACTCTATTTGTGATCAAATACATTTAAAAAAATCTTAATGTCCAGACAACGTTCACTACTGCAGATATGTCTGGTCTTATTGCCCATAATCATCAGTTCTTGTTGTTCTAGAGAAAAATATTTGTTTTCATAATCTTTTGTAAATATATAGTATACGCGTTTCTGCTGTTGTAAAAACGGCAGTAATAAAGTCCTGTTCCACATTATTTCCTGCTGAAATTTACAATTTTTATTGATAAAAAGTTCAAAGTTTTGTCAATGCCTTGTCATATTGCCTTTCAAATGTGTAATTTCCATGTCACCAAACACAATTGGAAAAATAATGACTGATTTCAAAAAAGTTTCCAAAACAATCCCCTACCTCCAATCGGCTTAGTCCAGCCCCAATGTCATGCCATCGGTTAAGCCAATGTTGACTTGGCATAATAAACTGGGATAGGATGTGTATTTTAACATCCAAAAACATTACATACTTCACCTTTATGTTATCTGTGTCACTGTAATTTTGCATGTGTGTTTACTTGTCTACAGAATTCAGTGGCAGCCAAGTTGTCCATCTCTCTCCTGAGGCACACCGAGCTCATTCCAGCTGACAAGGCCTTTTATGAGGCCGGCCTGGCAGCCAAGGTGAACTCACAGTGAGCCCAGCTCCAAACACACACACATTCACTCATAGCTGCTTCAACCATTCATGTGAGACAGAGGACAGGATGGCAGCTAAGAGCCCTGGGAAATTGGCTTAATTCTCCTCTGTTTGCTCCAGTAAGAGTTCACAGCAAGTGTGAATAATTTGATTCGCAAAGCAGTTTGAGTTGCCTCGCATTGTGAAGACGAAGTGGCGATGTGTCCTCTTTCTGGAGTTTTTTTTTTTTTTTTACATTTCTTAAACTTTTTATTTTTAATTTGAGCTTCTTCAGTTCTGTGTGTCACTGATGAATATTTCTCATGCAGGCTGTGGAATGGGAGAACATGGCTTTTATCTTCCTCAACCGCTTCTTGGATTTGGCTGATGTAAGTAAAGACTTTTGATTGTGTGTGCAGTCTGATCTTTCAAATTAAACAAACTTAAACATTACAAATCACTTGAAAAGACTCCCCAGTTAATCATTGACTGTGCAGACTTTACAGAGTCAAAGGTTGGGGACATTAAGTTTTTTTTAAAGGGGTGGTTGATTGCGATTTCACTTTTTTAATGTTAGTTAGTGTGTAATGTTGCTGTTTGAGCATAAACAATATCTGCAAAGTTACGAAGCTGAAAGTTCAATGCAAACGGAGATATCCTCTTCAATAATATCCTCTGCTTCTCAATCGGGCTCAAACTGATAAGAGATATTAACGACGCCATTGTTTACAATACAACCGGAGCACATGCCGCTGAGGTGAGTGGCGGGACGTTAGTCGTGTGCTAGAGGCGGTTTAGCCAATCACAACACATTGGGCTAGCTAACCAATCAGAGCCCATCGCCTATTTCTGAGGGAGGGGCTTCATAAAAGCAGGAAATGATCAGCGTATTTCTCAGAGAAGGGACAGAGCGGTGTGGAATAAAGGTACATTATGTGAAAAATAATGCGTTTTTTAAAAAACGAAGCATTAACACATGTTAGACTGCACCCCATAAACACAATCAAGCCTAGAAAAAAAAACAGTGAACCACCCCTTTAAGAAAATATTTTATTTCGTGAAGATGGATTAAATTGATCAAAAGTGACAGGAAAAATATTTATATCGTTAAAAAATCTATTTCAAATAAATGTTGTTCTTTTTAACTTTATATTTGTCAAAAAATATTAAGCAGCACAACTGTTTTCATTGATGATAATAAAAAATGTTTCTGAGCAGCAAATCATATTAGAATGATTTCTGAAGGATCATGTGACACTGAAGATTAATGGCTGCAGAAATTCAGCTTTGCCATCACATAAACAAATTGTTTTAAAATATTTTAAAATAGAAAACATTTGTTTTAAATTGTAATAGTGTTTCACAATTGTACTGTTTTTATTGCATTTTTGATTAAATAATTGCAGCCTTGCAAATGAGGTGAGCAAAAGAGACTTCTTTAAAAATTATTAAAAACATCCTACCAACCCCAGACGTTTGAACAGGATTGTACCTTCTAAGGAAACTGGTTTCAGACAGACTTCCAAGACCTCATAATGTCATGTCTAATGATCTAAAACAAATTTAAGTGAACTTTAAACATAACCAAGTCGATATTTATAACAACACTGCTTATTACTGAGTAGAAATGGAATGGAATGGACAAAATTGACATTTATAAATTATTTTACTGCTTTCAGCTGCTCCTTCAAGTGCTATTTTTGCCATTTTTATTGTACTGTTTCTAATAACATTCTTTAAATGACCTTATTTCAGCAATTGTTCTAAATTTTCAGGGCATTGACGAGGGAACATTGGATGCTTTAGACCACACAGACTTCCAGGATACAGATATCCCATTTGAGGTCCCTTTACCTTCAAAGCTACATGTCACTGTAAGCCTTTGCCAAAAACACTGCACTGGTGCCAGTGTATTTATTTTTTTATCCTTTGTGTAAACTCTTCCCATTGGCTGTGTTTCAGGTGGAGAAGAGGGAGGAGATTAGGGAGTGGGTTCTGACTGTGTCCATGGACCAGCGGGTGGAGCAGGTGCTGCCAAAGGATGAGAGAGGCACGTATGAAGCCTCCCTAGTGGCTGCCGGCACTGGCATCCGGTCCCTACCTTGCGTCATCACAGGTGAGGCAATCTGCACAAAAGACTGTCCGGTGTGAAGCGATGTTTCCTTTAAATTGCTTGTGAACTGGCTCTTTTAAAGGGACAGTTCACCCAAAAATTACAATTCTGTCATTTACGCACCCTCATGCCTTTCCAAAGCTGTATTGCTTCTGTGGAACACAAAAGAAGATTTTTTTTGAGAGTGAGAGTGGGGCCCATTAAGTTCTAGAAGAATCAGAATCAGACTGTTGATCCACTGACAGACGGAGGTGGGCACGGAGAGCTGAGTTCTATTGTAAAAACAGCTAAAACATTCCTCAAAATGTCACCTTTTGTGTTATCAGAGAAGAAAGAAAGTTTTGAAGGTAGTTGATGACAGAATTTTATTTTTGGGTGACCTGTACCTTTAGATGTGTGATTATAAAACACAAAAGTATCTTTATTATTCTTCTTTTTATTTGGAACACAGGTTACCCTGTCCTGCACAATAAAATTGAGTTCAAAAGACCAGGGATGGCAGCAAATAAAGATGACTGGAATAAATTCTTGATGGCTACAAAGGTACATGTTAGTCATTGTTACCGCTGAGCTTTCACAATTAGTCTTCAATCACACCGCAGTCGTTTGATTTATAATTAATTTGTTCTCTTGATCAAAAGTTAACACTCGGGACTGAATTTATTAGCGTGTGTTTTGTTGAAGTAAATGTAAATGCTCTCTTTCGATGTATTTCATCATTGCTTTTTTTCCTTGTGGGTGCATTTGCAGTTTTCGCATTACTTCACAGTTTGTCCCATTCAATCCTGCCTGGGGTCGCCTGCGGTGCTTTGATCATGATTGCTTGTTTTTGTTTCACCCTTTAGACCACTCACAGTCCAGAATGTCAAGATGTGCTGAAATTTATCACACAGTGGTGCGGAGGTCTCCCTTCAGCTGGATATTCCTTCCACTAAGACCGGGGAAGGTGCACAATATCTATTTCTCTATCTGTCATCATCCTGTTCTTCACTTTCTCGCATTCGCCTCCCAGCTGTTCTGCTTAAACATTTAAACAGTCTTTTTCATTCTCTTTTCCAAAGGCAACGTTCACTTCTTGGTCATCATTCCCTCACCATTTTTTTTTATAGCTAAAGTATCATAAGGTGAAGATACATGAAGGTCATTTAATGTGTGTGTTAAATGTGCTTGACTGCAGAAAGCCTTTGAATATAATCTGTAAGTAACTGTAATACATACGCCACTAGTTCATATAAGTTGGATATTTTGATATTTAAACACTAAATAAAAAACGAATACTTCATAAAGATTGTCATTGTTCTCAAGGACATTTGTATGAGCTGAATATTCAGCTGAAATAAAAAAGCTATTTTATAAATCAGAATTATTGTTGAATTGTTAGGTGTGATAACATTTCTAAACTTTCTAAAGGCTGTATGCCTGTTGTGCATCATATTTTAAATAAATTAATTCTAAGACATTACTCATCAGTGGCGTTCACTGGTGTAATTTATTTTTATGTATAAATGATCAGCTGGTTTATGATAATTAATAGTCACCTGTCAAACAACGCCATCTTGTGGAGACCATAACGTGTTGGGGGTGAAAGAGGACACTCACACTTGTGGCCTGGTACAATTTTCACTTCTAATGATGTAATAATAATGTGGAGTATTCCTTTTTATTTCGAGCCAGATCTTTGTTCCATAAAAACGCATTAAACTATGAGGCATCATTATACTGCAAATATTTTAATATGTAAAAATAAACATCAAAGAAACTAGTAGACTTGTGGGTGGTTTTGATTTTAATTTCTAGTTATTATATAACTGGACGGATCGTTACACTGATGGTTTGTAGTTGAATTGCTTGTATAAACAGACAGTTAAGAAAAAAAACTGTCACAAGGAATGATTTATGGGGGTCAGACCTACTAAATAAGGCCTGAACAAGCAAAGTCAAAAGGTTTGGGCGTCAGGGTTAGTTAAAGTACATATGCTTATTTATGTAGTATATATATATATATATATATATATATATAGGTTTCTACGTGTTTTTAAACGTCTTACTAAATTAGATTACAAATCAGAGCGCGTATTTTCACCTGCAGGCAAACATAAACTGACGAATGGAAGGTAACCATAGCGACAGTACGCTGTTTAAAAAAAAATAAAAAATTTTTTGACGATAAAGCATTACAGGAATAATGTAATTATGCATTAATGTATTATAGATTTACATAACAAATACATCACAAAAGCTTTTTAGATGAGCGACGTTTATCTTACTGATGGTGGCGCGAAATAACAATTTGAAGGTCCTCGACAGATTACGTGAAACGCTGATTATTATATATTACTATAACATTACCTGAAAAATTACGTTTGTATTTACATTTTAATCTTTTAGCAGCTGTTTAAAATTCTTTAAAAACTTGAGGTGTTTTAAATAAACGGTATAATTTGCACCCTTAACAGAAACCAAAGTTAATGTTAACATTTGTCACAAACGTATAGTGTTCTGTGACCAATATATCTGTCATTTTTGCTTATCTCATTAAATAAATAACAATTAACACAGGTTAACTCTGTATTTGGTCATAACAGTAAGTGTTTTCCAACATTTTTTTTATTTGCAATTTTGAATGTTATTTTTCGAATCCAATGATTTGAAATAACTTACTTTGTGTCCCACTGCCGCTGTGTCCCCGAGTCCTTCAAGAATCAACATTTACAAAAATTACCAAATCGCTGATTGAAATACAGGGGCAGCTGAATTTAATCTGCGACCTAAATATTCTTTTGATGAAATATGCTAATGTAGGCTACACCTCTGCCTAATGAGGTTGATCTGACATTATGCAGTGTCCTCAAGTACCCTTTAAAGGATATAGCATTTTCGACAAGGCCGCACACGGTTCGAGTCTCAGAAAGGGCATGTTGCTAAAAGGCGGAAAATTCTGTGTTCTGTATAATTTCTCATTTTTCTCTACTGCGATATCTCATATTAGAGCACTGCTTCGAGGTTACATCATTCACTTCCAGTAGCTATGAGGCCCTTTATGTCACGCAAAACTGCGCGTGTGCATTTCTTTCTTAAACGTTGGAAATTAAAACTCCAGCCTTGGCAGTCTAGTAATGCACGCGTGGTTTATAAAATTATATCTTGATTGTCCCCATTTATTTGCCTTGAATTGCCTGAACGCTTAATCTGTAAACGCACGGAGCGTTATAGTTCTAGAACAGGAAGAAGGCCTGCACGTTCTATACTGAGGTTAAATATGTTTTATTAATAACATTTAAACATCTGTCGGAAATTATACATAACGTTAACCTTGACTAGTAGTCTCGTGGACGAAAGACATTATAATTCGTTTGGTACAGAAGTTGATATGGTATAGAAATTATTCATGACACAACATGTTTTCTTTGCTATCTTTGATTGGCGAATATAACCTTGCGCGTTTATCTAATAAAATGTAGTTTAATTGGCCTATTTAATTAGAAAAGCGAATTGGCAAAAGCCTATAGGCCTTCATTTCCAGAAGCAACCATTAAATGACCTTGAAAAATAAGTTAACGGTTACTGAATAGGGTATAAGGAATACAAGGATGAAAGACTGATTTGGATGTACAGACCTATCTCTAAAAATGAACATCTCAGGGTATAAAGAATACAAGGATAAAACATTGATTTGGATGTACAGACCTGTCTCTAAAAATGAACATCTCATAGGAGGTGAAGATGAAATATTATGACAACTGCTGGAATTCATGGCATGTTTAAGGCGCCTATAATGTGAAATGTGCGTTTATATTTAATCGAAACCCGCTTCAGTTTCCATCATCTCATACCGGAATATAAACGTGTTGTTTATAGCTACTCTCTTTAAAATAAAGGCTCTTATGTGGTCCTCATAAATTCAGTAAATAACCATTAAGAACATGTTTGCTGTATAAGTTGGCTTTAAAACGTTCTTGATGTTGCATGTTCTTCAGATGTGTTTTTCAAGTTGAGTTTTTTTTTTAAAACATACAAAAGTTTTTCAAGAGGATAAAAAGTTCTTAGAGGATTTTAAAATGATTCTTCTACAGGCCGTAGTGTCTTTTTGCTTGCAGCTTTTCGACGCTAAATAAAGTGTGGATTTTGTGAATTGTGAACGTCATTTTGATTTTTAATTTGATATGAAATATTGCTTAAACTACGGTTAAAAAGCTCGCGGCCTGCATCCTAATTACTGAGAATCATTGTAAAAAATAAAGTGAAAATATAACTGTAAAGTTTTAGAAAATAGTGGAAAAGATTGTCTTAATTAAAGTGTTCTGATTAATCGAAATATGAAGTGGCAAATATTGCGTGAAAAAAATAAATTAATGTCTGCTCAGTGAATATGTGACTTTATTGACAAGCTAAAATTATTTTCATAATCATAAATACAATACAAACGTACATGTTCAATATTTTCAGTGCCCTTATGAGGACACATGACAAGTGTCATTTTGAGGACCAACTGCTGTCGTCCTGAACGTTCAGAAATGTAAGATATCAGTGCGTTCTGTCACCGTAGGCCTCACAACTTTTCTATCCATATTATTCTTCTTCATCTTCTCCTGAAGACATCGTGTCCCCACACAGATCTGCAAATGAGACTATTTCTAGATTTGAATCGTCCTCTAAATAGACAGTAAATGACAAAAATACGTTACATCAGACCTCAGGGTAATTGTTAGAGTTTTAAATTCGTAAATGCACAATGACACTTCACAATAGGCTATTCAATGATACGCTCTTTTGCGCAACACAAAATTATGGAAGAACCCAATTAAATATTAAAAGATCAGTTTGGCCGCATTAATGCGTCGGCTCGCACACACACACGCGCTCTCGCAAAAAACGACCGAAAGAAAAATAAGAACGGTCGTGCATCGCAAACCACGGACTATATGCGCTGTGCTGTTATAAAAACAATCATCGATGATATTTGCCATCTCTCTTGGCATTCACCGCGTGCCTTAATTGTATGGACATTTAAATCAAGGTCCGCTGTGAACACGAAGAAAAGCAGGCCTGTTTGCAACCACAATGCTCTGAATCGCACAACTAAGCTACAGCAAAGATGTTGCACCAAAATGTCTACGTCCTCCTCCGACTGGTGTAGCATCAGCATCCAACATTGCACAGAGCATCATGCATCCTTAAAGCATCTGTGCATCACATCATAATTCAAGCAAGCGTTCCCATTTATTACATTACCTATTTTTTCGAATGCGTTATTTCCACAGGACGGTGCGCACCTCTCCATCATGTGTTGGTGCAACATAAGGCCCGAGTGATGGCAATAAAAAGAAAGCGCTCAGTGGCTTGCTGCAGTTGGTCCCTTGCTCAACTCCCATGAGACATAAAAAAAAAAAATAGTAGAGGGCCCATCTGGCTCCTCACCAGCTTTGTCAAGTCTTGTATACGCTAAAATGCTAATGACCTAGATAGCTCATGCAAAATGCAGCAGAGGTAAGAGAGAAGGGGGAAACTGTGGGACTAAACCAGAGACACCGCCGCCTCTTGTGGGGGGTCGGGCGGGGTATATGTTAGAAGGTGGGGACAGTTGAAAGAACCTGCATCAGGAGGGGGTAAACTAAATATTGGGAAAAAAGTGGAGTGCACCATTTGTCAAAGCCAACCTTGCACCATGCACAGAAAGGAAAATTCCCCGCAAATAGGATTTTAATTAGGCGATCCATTCAGTGACGTCCATTCAGTCTGAAAATCAAAGAACCTATTAATATAGCCTGGCATCATTTGATACAATGGCACCTCAATGCATTTACAGTCAACTGTTATATGCGATAGAAGAAAAAAAAACGTGCTTTAGTAAAACAGACGCAGTTGGTTGACATTAACAATTTGTAAAAACAATGCACATCGATTTAATCAAAACTTACACAAATACACCTTGCGAAGCAGGATATAAATAATAGGTTTTTATCCCCCGAGATAATAAGTGTCCATAAATCCAGTATTGGGAAATGTCCACAAGGCAGTCGGTGCAGAAGAGCGTCCTTCCAAACCCATCAAATGTTCCGCTCGCTTTTGCGCACCTTGATGCTGTAGGATGCGACATAAATCATTTCCGCTTACAGTGTTGCATCACTCAAATTTCTTCAAGATAAACGAAAAAAAAAAGAAAGCAGAAAAAGGCATGTTGGAGGCAAATAGCCAGAGCTGAAGGTTTCGGTGCTCGTAAGCAGAGTCGGTCATCATGTGAAATGGTGTGATGCAGAGCGCGATCTGACAGAGAGGAGGAGAGCAGCCCAGTTTATCACACACACTGAAGCTCTCCGTCCTGCTCCTCTGTTCCCTTCCCTTCAGAGAGGATTATACTCTGGTGGAAAGAGGTGGCATCTGTCGGGTTACTAAACATTAGCCGTTTGGAAAATAGTTTCTGCACTTTTCATGATGCACGTGTTTGTTTTATTTAATCGTTGTGATTTCTAAATCACTTTTTTATTTCTATTCATTTCTTGATGCACAAGTCAACGTGCAATCGTGCGCACGACTTCTCAAACTGGTTTATAATCTGAAGAACAACAAAACTATTTCAAATTGGACGTTTTTACATTCTAACCCCAACACAAAAATGGAATGCTCTTATGGAATGCGTATTGGCAAATAAACCGCGAGCACCTTTAAGAAATAAAGTCATCGTGCGCCACGATTCCATTGACTGTTAATTCTTCGACGTAAACGTTTTCACGTGAAATAAATATTTTAACACCGCAGTAAACCCTTAGAAAGTATTAGTTCATCAATTTGTGTCCAAAAAAAAGGCCGACTCCATATGGCCTGTCATCTGCGCGTTGAGTCCCATCCCCCAGACCCCACCCGCGCTCATCTCATCCCTCATGCTGCATTGATTTGTTGTCGAACATTGATTTATCTTTATTCCTTTCTCATTTTATTGCTACACAAAAAACGTTTCCTCAGACTCCAACTCACGGATAGTTCTCATTTGCTTAGGGATTTAAACCCACAACAGCCTGCCAGGCTTACTTTAAAAATACGCAGGCCTGAGTAGGCCTATTGTATCAACGTACAAATTATTCAGCGATTTTAAAGGGAGTTTTATCATTTTATTCGCCTTGCGAGGTTCGTCTCGCTCAATCCGAATTGCCTTTGTAGTTAATTAACATCATCTACCTTAAATGTTATGAAGACGTTTGTATACACGACAAACTTGAAAATAATTTACAATGCGTATGTTCGAAGCACCGTCGTAAAGCGCTCGAACGACGTAACGTTTCTATCTATCTATCTATCTATCTATCCATACATACGCTTTGTATTGTGTGGGTTAGTACTTGCTTTGAGGTTAGCATTGAAAATAATTTACAATGCGTATGTTCGAAGCACCGTCGTAAAGCGCTCGAACGACGTAACGTTTCTATCTATCTATCTATCTATCTATCTATCCATACATACGCTTTGTAATGTGTGGGTTAGTACTTGCTTTGAGGTTAGCAGAGGTCTCCTGATCCTCTCATGTGTTGCAGTTTAGACTGAGGACTGTCGTCTGCCGCACGCGTCTCGAACAAACACATTCGACACGCGGTGAACTCCAGATGGTAAAGCTTTTCAATCCACCCTTATGCTGACGACACATGGATAAAGACACTGTCTCTGAGTGCTGCAGACAGCCAACACCTTCAAGGGCCCGGGAATATCATCTGAATAAACAAAGAAGTGGCTACTTGGTGTTCTATTTTCTGTCTGTTTGTAATGTATTGCAGATATCCATTGGTTTATAAACTATTTAGTGCTGTCAAAGGAGTAATCGCAATTAATCACATCCAAAATAAACAGTTTTTGTTTACATAATATATGTATGTGTGCTGTGTATATTTATTATGTAGCCTATATATAAATACACACACATGCATGTATATATTTCAGAAAAATATGCTGTTTATATATTAAATGTATGTATTTATAATATAAATTATATGAATATAAATATAGACATGTAAATACATGTAAATATTTTCAAAATATATACTGTATGTGTGTGTATTTATATATACATAATTAATATACACAGAACACACACATATTATGCAAACAAAAACTTGTTTGTATGCGATTAATCGCGATTAATCGTTTGACAGCACTAAAACTATTATTAATCTTATAAGCTACAATTAGCCTAGTATTATTAGAAAATTATAAACACATTTCCATCAATCAATATCCTAAATTCACATAAAGTGTATTGTAATGTAATTGGATTAAGTAATTTTCCTGAACTAATTTTCTACTACCTACTATTCTGCACATGTGCCAACAAGATAGCGCACACTTAAAACGAACTGACTTTAAATTTGAGTAAAATGTTACACATATTTAAAAACAATATACTTACAACTGACACGAGCACATTAATTAATACGAGCATTTTGAATATTAAATACAATATATGGGTGCATAAAACACGTTGTTGCCGTGCCCTGTGGTGTGACAGCTACATTTAATCTAAAATAGCATTTTATAAACTTAAATTAAGAGTATTAGTATTGTCACACCACGCATCAACAAACAATATAAAAGCTAGTGCCAACACAAATGAGTAGCTTTACAACTTTTTATTAAGAACATAGCCTATTCCAAGCTCCTAAACGTTTTTGAATCACTGAGGAAGGAATGTCCTCCAACACAGCACTGAATACGGAGTCGTTTTACCACAGGGTTAAAGGGGACTTTAAACATTTGATTAGAGCACGCGTACTTATTTAAATCGTGAACTCTGGACTCAGTACTGTAATCTATATTACAGAAGATGCTAAGCAGGGTTATTTATTTACAATATATATATATATATATATATATATATATATATTCATAAACAAATAGTTACGTAACGAGCACGCGCTTGTGCAATCGTTACACAAGTGCATCGCGTGCGGTGTGTTTGTGCTCATGGTCGCGCGGACTTCCGTGCGTTTGGTTTGGCGTTATTTTGTCCAAAACAGAATGGGAGATATGTCCTCCAAAATACGAATGCCGTCTCCGGAGGAAGCGCTACTTGGAAGAGAGCAGAGCATGAAAGTGTCAGGTATGGCGTTGTGAATTTGTTTGACTTTCTCAGTTGTTCACGTGCTAACGCGGCTATCAGCTGTCAAAACAAAGGCAGTGCCTTAACGTTTCAAGTCACGATGAGATGGATATATTGTTATAGGGTATGGAATTGCAACCGAAGCGTACTTGTGCAAAAGAAAGCGAAGACGAGTCCTATGCGGTCGAGGAAACGGGGAGCTTTGTTTTGGTTTTCCTGGATCTGTGCGACGCACATGCGCAGTGCTACACTTACGTATCGTCATTTTGTTTCTTCCAGACATCCAGATAGCGAGTATTTGTAGACGTTATTTACTCGTATTTGGCTACTCAATAATCAACTCATAGATGTTTTGGTATGACACCTTATAGTAGCATCATTACAACTTATTCAGCCCTTTTCTCTTTAATTTTCATCAATTTTTCACGTTAAAGTACCATTTAGGTGAAGCAAAATGTTTTTTTTTTTAACGGAGTAATATCCCCAACACTCTTGGCATTAAATATTCAATATCTTTCTCCTCAGAGGCAAGAGTACAGGGTAGTAAAGGGCAATAAAAGGCACACTTGCAGTGGAACAGAACAGCTGACTCAGGCTCTTACATAAAAATGGAAATGCTGCTTCAAGTAGGGTGCAGAGCTCTGATGGGAACAGGAGGCCTGCTACGAATTCTAAATCACACCGTTTAAGTGACATCATTTAAACGGAAAAATAAAACATCTAGTTAGAATAGTAAGTAGTTATTTAGCAGACACTTTTATCCAAAGTGACATGGATAAAGTGGGACAGTCATCCTGAGATAAAAAAAAAATAGTTACTATCAATAAATACTTTTTTTTTCATAATTACACCCACATGTTATTCCAAACATTTAAATGTAATACTTACCAGTATAGTTCACCCCAAAAAATTACAATTCATATACTCACCCTCGTGTCATTTCAAACCGGGAACACTTTTATTTTCTGTGGAACAGAAAATAGTTTGTAAAAACATTGTCTATGACACTTTTATCCAAAGTGATGCGAAAAGAATAGTTTATTCAAAAATGATTTTTACACCCTAATGTTATTCCAAACCTATATATTATTTTTTCCTTGGAACACAAAATGAGAAAATGCATGAGCAATGCATGGGCTATTTCTTTTTCATATGGAAAAAAAGAAGCATGTACATTGTTTTACAAATATCCTTTTGTGTTCCACTGAAAAATAACCGCATATGGATAGGCATAATAATGACAGAATTTTCATTTTTTGAGAAAACTATCCCTTTTGTCTTGCTCAAGGGCACAAAAGTGATAACACAAGTCTTGTTTCTTTCGGAGGTCGAACTAGCAATTTTCTGCCTTTTCAGCCTTGGGCTATAGCCATATACCTTGTCCCATCCTCCCAGCAGCAGGTCCAAGTGGACATTTCCCTTCGAGTTTTGAAGATACTGCCTTTGCATTCATTGTACAACTAACAGCTGTGGACTTAAGTTGTAAAGGAAACTTTAGATTAGGATGGTAGGTTATTGTTGTAACACGGCCTGGAAGTTAATAAGTATAAAAATAATGTGTTTGCAATGACTCGCTCTCAGCAGGCTGCTTGACATGCGACTCACATTGGCGTTCAGTGCAATGGCATGAAGCATGCCCATGCAGGGATCCACCCCTTCAGACTGCAGTGAACTGATTATCAGCGCTCGCCTCTCAAGGCTTCCCCCTTGGTAACGGGACTCCACCGCGGAGCTGGAAGGTTGCCAGGTAACACTCTGCAACACTGACACACGCGTGTCTCGCTTTGAAGATGTAATGAACCTTGTTGAAGGTTACAGACCACAGAACAGATGGAAGAATGAGATCAAAGCTTAGGCCGGTGCGATGTCTCTTTGAACACGAGCAGCTCTTACAAAAAACTTTGTGGGCGCTTATTTCACGTGCTGAGGGAACTGGTTCAGTTATTTCAAGTGCTGGAGTTGCTGTGGACTTTTGGAGTGGGATTGTACTTCTTTTTTATTGATATGCAAAAAAACAAACAAAAAAAAAAGCCCCCCTAGTTGAAATTGCTTGAATAATTAAGATTTTTTTTTTTCAGTGTTTTGAAAGAAGCCTCTTCTGCTTACTAAGGCTTCATTTATTTGATTAAAGAAGTAAAAACAGTAATAATGTTAAATATTATTGCAATTTAAAATAACTGTTTTCTATTTGAATATATCTTAAAATGTAATTTATTCCTGTGAGGGCAAAGCTGAATTTTTAGTAGCCATTTTAGCGTATCGGAATGATTTCTGAAGAATCTTGTGACACTGAAGACTGGAGTAATGGCTGCTAAAAATTCAGCTTCACCATTATAGAAATAAATTGAGTAATTGAAAATCTGTTGTCATATTTAACAGTATAGTTCACCCAAAAATAAACATTTTGTCATTATTTACTCACCCTCATGCTGTTCCAAACCTGCATGACTTACTTTCAACTGTGGAACACAAAAGAAGATATTTTCAAGAATGCTGGTGACCAAAACAACGTTTGACCCCATTGACTTTTATTGCATTTACCAAAAAAAATAAAATAAATAAATAAAACTTTTAAGTGCTTTGTACTTTAGACATTTTAATTAAAATAGATGTTTTAATTTTAAATTAAACATTTTAATAATAATAATAAAAAATCAAATGTGGCAAAAAAAAAGAGAAAAGTTCCACATTTTTCATCTGGTAGAATGCTGCCAGTCAAAGATGCAAAGTAAAATGAATTTGTGAAATTCTAATAGTAATTTGGTTAGTTGATTAGGTAGTACAGAAAAAATACTTCACTTGAGTAGTTGATTGCTCATATGCTGTATATTAAAATTATATTTACTAGGAAATATAGATTGTCAGAGCAATATAGTCCAACTGTTTTCATATTCTCTATACCAGTTGTTGATTTGCCATGCTAAATATCATATAACAGTTTTGTGGCAGTGCATGATTTGGTTTCCATATAAGTGAGAAAGTTTGTTTAGGGAGGGCGTCCTTGGGGCCGTCCTGCTTTGGCACACAATAGCGCTGCCATGTCCCCAAAAATGGCAGTAGCAGCACAGGAGGTGCTGTTTTGGCACGCAGAGAATTATCACAGCGCTGAAAGGAAGAACAGCAGCAGGATTTTCCCCTGCTAAGACAGATTTGAAAGTGAGTAGGTGAAACACAGAGCAATTCTCGAGTACCGGTGGCTAACAACGCATGGAGCGCATGGGCGGTTGAAGGAGGGATGTTGGTGCTTTTTGGGGGGGGGGCAGACAAGCAGACACAGGCTGGAGCTGCGCCAGGGTTTCTCGGGAAAGCACGAAGAGGGAGAGGAATGGAAGAGAAAAAACCCAGGCGAGACTTGGCAGGGTTCTATCGCAGCTCCCTTTGTTTGTTTGCTCAGCTTTTGCGCAAAGGAAATCAAAAATACCCTGAGTGCAGGAGCTCAGCTTCAGTGCTAAAAACAAAATCTAAAAAGAAAACTGCATTATATTCGCAGGAAGCTAGGGCAAAGGGGGCACACATTGTAATCAATGAGCCGTTTTTGGACAATTCTGGAAGAATTGTGCGGTCCCCGTTTTTGGACTGGACTTTTGAAGTTGTTTGCGCCAAGAGATGACCATGCGTCTTCAGGGGTCTTTGTTATCTTAACCGCAAATGAAGATGTATCTGACTTGTTTATGTTCTCATTAATGGCTTTACTATGCCTGGAACCACAAACGGCAAGTGCCAAAGAAAAGTTTGCACCTCTACGACCGGACTGCAAAGTTTTGTTTTTACTTTCAGAACTTCTAAAACTAAGGGCCAGAAGACGCTGTGTTCCTAAGTGGGAAATTTATGTTTTTGTCTTGGAAGAAGAAGTTAGGTGACTCTCCAAATGTCCTCAGCAACAGTCTTCTTTCTTTGAGGTGCGTCTCCAGAAAACCAAGACCATATTCCAAGGCTGTTTGCATTTGAACATGCTTAGATCAATGAGGGCATAAAGAGACTGTTTTGTTTGCAGGTGATATTCCAGTCTTCTAACTATTAAGGAATTTGATGCTCTACAAGAAGGAGATGAATTGTTGGTCAGCCATTTTGATGCTCAAAAGCTTGCGGTCAACAAACGTCTGGAGTACAAAGAAGGCCTGGATGTTGATTTTCAAGCCAAATAATGCTCTCAATTATTTAATCAAGTTTTTTTCTCAATTGGCTTCCTTGATGCTGATGAGTCACTGTTAGAATGGTGAGTTGTTGTTATTGGTTTGTATGATTTATTATTGGTTTGCATGAAGTATGATTTCCTCTAGAGAGACAGTTTTCTACCGATTCTTCATCTGCTTTTTTTCATACAGTGTTGTTTGAAACATGCCACCCTTCTATACAGACTTTATAGCGTCCTCTCACCAACTTTTATACTAATATACTGGTTTTCTGTCTCACAGCTACACATTGGCATTGCTTATTGCTATTGCACTAGGATTCTGGCTGCATCGGCAGGCTTCCAGTGCTTTTTAACTGTGAAAAGTGCAAGAACAGAGAAGAGACAGAGAGAGATTTTGTTGATTCGGTGCCAGTATGAATTTGCCAGATGTGTTTCATCACAAGACAGGTGTCCATGGCTGATAGAGCAGGTGCATTATGATGTTTGGCATTATATTTTGATATAATGGTTTTCTGAAAGGCCTTTCAGCTTTCCATCAATACTCAAAACATGCAAAGGCCTAAACTCTCTTTGGTGGAATTTTAAACAAGTGGACATTGAATTTTTAATCACCAGTATTTCTGACCTTTGAAGATGAATCCAAATTCACTGTTCTGCGTGCCATTTCTGATTTGTTTTATGAAGTAGAAACTTTTTTTTTTTGCCACCAGCGTCTCGGAACAGCTGCTTGGGCAACTGCAAAATGCCAGTTGGAATCGCTCCATTGCTTTCCATTCGTTAAAAAATAATTATTAATTATCAACAAGATTATTCATATACCACCTGGATAGATCTAAATGAACAACCCTAATTGTCTAGTTTTGGA